TATTATAAACCTGGAAATTATCCGTTAAAGTTTTGTAAAAACCTTGAAAACCCAGGGAATTTGATTTAGCCAAATGAGTAGACATCCTGCACGGCCAATGAGATCAATCCAAATTTAATTTTTTCACGAAACAATACCCGAATATGAGAAAAGTGCATTCTCTCAATCTCTCTCAATGGTACTAGGATTCCTAGACTGAGAAAAATTTCGTTAATTTTCCTCATTTTCCGGCAGATTTTTTAGGTCTTCCATAACAAAAAATGAAGTATTTTTTTATTGGGTCGTATATAACATTTTTGTCAATTAGAGATACGAGGTGTTTTGTTTTGGTGAACAAAAAATTGTTTTTAAAGAAATAGATAATTCTTTCAAAATTCCCATTTACTACACATAAAGATAAAAAAAAAATTACTACACGTTAACTTGAAAGTACCCATTAATAGTAAAAAAAAAAGACCCATTTTGAAGAAAAGTGGCTTAACTCATGAAATTAGTAATTTTTTTTACCCATTAATGAACATCTGTTACCCATTAATGAGTAACTGTTACTCATTAATGGGTAACAGATACTAATTAATAAGTAAACAAAATACTCATTAATGGGTTAAGTCACTTATTTTCAAAATGGGTCTTTTTTACTCATTAATGGGTACTTTCAAATTTGCGTGAAGTGCTTCTATCGAACAAACGTTTTTTAACCAATAAATGTTATACGACCTTTTGCATTCGATCGTGCGCATTTTAGCAGTTTAAAAATGTATTATAATGAGTAATATCTTACGGAAAGCGTAGTTATCATTTTGTGGATCACCCACAACCGTTTTTTATTGAAGATTTGCAAAATTTGCACTTTTATTAGGAATACAACGGGTCGTATGTACAGTTTTGACGCGTCTGTCTAATTTGTTACATACGGCGATTGACACCTCATTAAAAAGTAGGTGTCATATGTAACATTGAGCTATGCCCGGAAAAAAATAACTATACAATTACCATAAAATAATATAAAATCACAACAAAATCTATTGCCAACAATCGATTGTATTGTATATATATATATCATTCAATTAAATTTAAAATATTGTTATTACAATAGATCTACAATACGTCCCATGTAGTATGAAGGAATGAAAATCGATCAGAAGATGATCGGTTCCACTGAAAATTATAAACATGTTTAAAACAAACTCTTGAAATAAATTAATACATGATTACTAGATTCTGAATGAATTGCGCATCCAATCCGATGAGATCAAAATCGTTAAAATCTTGAACCCGATATCCGTTAAACTCCGCTATATTTGCCAGCAAATCCAGGATCAGAACTGATGCGAACCGTCTTCGGAAGCAGCATTCTGGTTCCGGTACTGCAAAAGTAAAACGAATGAAAACCATCATCGCACCATTTCCAAAACATCTCACTTTGATGATTTCCTCCTGGATTGCTTGGATTGTTTCCCTCCGTCTGCCGTGATAATTGCCTCCAATCCGTCGAAAATAAGCTAGCGGAGGCATGCCAGAAACGCGATTCCGGGGGCTGGGAGAAACCGGTGAAAGTAAAGTGTGGGAATCTGCTTGTTTTGAGTTGAATTTGGCGGTAAACAGAAGTCCAGTGCTGTCAAAAACTTTGCTCTGAAGAAGTATTTGTGATAGTACTACAACTTTTATTTAAAAAAAATACACTTTTATAATTACAAGTCGAAATTGAAAGAAACACTTTTAAATCAAAAAATCAATTTTCATTTTGAATATTTTCGCAATTGAAACTACGAGTTTTGCGAAACTTTTAAATTGAAATTGAATTATTTTTATAGCAACATTTTTTGTTCTTTGTGTGTACATACGATAAATAGTTTTTTGATGAGAAAATGAAACAAAAATGTGGTAGCGGATTAAAATTTTGCCTCCCGCGGTAGCATTAAAATTTCAATTTGTTTACGTTTGTTACTTACGACCTAATCAAAAAGGACTCCAACATGCAAATTAACTCATCGCTGAGTTCCTGCACTTTTTGCAGTAAACTGAACTCAAATTTGGGTCGATCTTATTGGCCGTGAAGATGTTGTGCTTCTATAGACCTTTTTGACGTTATACTCTGGACAGACTATGGCTTATATCATGTAATATAGGCTGTCTTGCAATGAGCACTCATACATAGGATTTCCAGTGAAAACTAGATGTATGAGTGCTCATTGCAAGATAGCTTATATTACATGATATAAGCCATAGTCTGTCCAGGGTATTAATCGTATTTCTATCATTTCTATATGTAGCACACTAAATTTCTTAGTGTTAACTATCCATTACTGTGCACACAGGAATGAGTGGATGGTTAACACTAAGAAATTATTACTTACCGACTTCGGTAATTTTTATCGATCTTTCAATATCTGAAGTGTTCTGTAAAAATCAGGCATATTAATGCATTAGTTTTAAAACTTCAAAACAAGGAAAACTTCACCACAATGACAAAACTTGATTATTTCAAGTCTGCTGGCAGTGTTTTGAAATTATAATTTAGTGTTTTCCTGTGGAAAACCTCAAAAATCTGCCGGGAAATGAGGAAAATTACAGAAAATTCTTCTCAGTCTAGGAGTAGTACCAATAGACTGACAGAATCAAATCTTTACTTTTCTCATATTCTGGATTTTTTTTTCCTGGAAAAACCCGGAAAAACCAAACAAAACATTGAGGAAATTTTACTCATCGCTAAGTTCCTGCACTTTTTGCGATTTATGAGTAAACTAAACACAAATTTTGGTTGATCTCATTGGCAATGTAGGAAAGGGAAAGGGAGCGCAATGATAGGTAATAGTACGTTCAGACTACAGAGTTATAACATGTTATAGCGCTATCTTGATGGTGGTTTCTGTGTTGCAATTATTTGACAACCGTTATAACATGTTATAACTCTCCATCCGCATCAACGCGAACCATAAATTGAATGAACCTTAACTTTAACTGAAATGGTTTTGAAACCTTACATGAACGTTTGTGTGATAAAGTTTTAACCTTATGTATTATGGTTTTTAGGAAGCGGACCTTACAAATAATGGGTTGTTAAGAACCATTACCATTTCAAATTTTTGTTTTCTCCATACATTTTCGGAAAGAGAACTATATTAGAACGTTTTTACTTATGGTTTGAGAACATTAATGGTTATGGTTATGGTAGTCAGTAAGGCCCATTAATGGTTTTGTAACATCGATCAACTTTATGTGGAATATATCGCGAATTGGTTGCCTGTAAATTAATAATTATCAGTTCGCGATATATTCCACGTAAAGTTGAGCGATAATACAAAACGATTAATGGACCTTACTGACTACCATAACCATAATCATTAATGTTCTCAAACCATAAGTAAAAACGTTCTAATATAGTTCTCTTTCCGAAAATGTATGGAGAAAACAAGAATTTGGAATGGTTCTTAACGACCCATTATTTGTAAGGTCCGCTTCCTAAAAACCATAATACATAAGGTTAAAACTTTATCACACAAACGTTCATGTAAGGTTCCAAAACCATTTCAGTTAAAGTTTAGAAGGGATTATAAACAATTTATAACCATTATCGGTAAGGTCAAGTGATGGTTTGCGTTTATGCGGGCAGTCTGTACAGCATTTTAGGCATCTTGATGCCATTTGTGACAACTGTCAAACTTACCGTTTCCGTTCTGCTTCCGCCCACATTGCGTTTAACCCTTTAGTGCCAAAAAGCACAATGAAGGATACTTTTATGAGAGTCACTTCTACTCAGAGGTATGGAGAAATTTATAAAAACTGCAGGAACTCAGCGCTGAGTTACCTGCAATTTTTAGAAATATCTCATACAACTGAGAAGAAGTAAGTCTCTCTCTCTCTGAGTTATTTTCAGTGGCCATGTATAGGCCGCTATTACAGAGTCTGGAAAGTTGGATAGGAACAGCACTATTATTGGAACATCAAAGATCAATTAACTTTGATGTTTTCGAAAAATTTAAAAGCTCTTTTCAACGTCATATTGTCGGTCAATTTGGACACCGGAAAACTCCACACGCTACACTCTATTTTACTCTCGTTCAAAACATAACGTCGGACATAGTGCGCATTATAGCGCATCATTGTGTGAATACACTATGTCCAACACCACGTTTAACCTAGTAATCCTATATAATATAGAGATTCGCGGAAGCGGCCATCTTGAGCCAATCGAGCAGCGAGATCTGTCAAAATGTGAGCCAAACGAGGATTCTGATTAGAAAATATTCAGAGGATTTCTTATTGGGTTGGAAAGTATTGTAATCGGGTGAAATAAGTTCAAACAAAACGTTTATAAATTTGAAAAACATTATAGCAGTAAAATGCGTATGTTAACATAAGAGAGAAAACACACTTATTTGTCCAGTTTGGTGTGAAGTGCGCAATAACACTAAACGCTATATTCCTGTTTTTCCAGCAATATCTCTTAATTCTTTAGCAAAATACAAGTGCGTGTGTGAAGTGGTACTGAAAGAAGTTTTAAGTAAATAGATACCACCCAATAATTATCATTGTAGCTTACACTGCACACACGCATAGAATCCTCTGGGGAAAAATCTGACGGCAGTCCGCAAAATTCCGCCTTTTTTTTCGAAGTTCAGTGTTTTTCGGAAACCGGAAGAAAAGCTCACATTTTTGCACTTCGTTGCATTTCCACGACCGCGGTTCACCATTAGCACTGTCAAAAATGACGTTTGACTTCGATTTAGGTGGGCTACAACCCAACTAACGGAAGCCCAACTAAAACGTAGCCCACCTAAACATAGCTCAACGAGCGAAATTTGACTGTAAATTGCATCTTAAGGCTTTTAAGTCATTCATGCCATTAAACAAGAAAATCGATTACCCCACACCACCACCAGCGACTCACTGTGGTCGAATAAGGAAAGCTAAAACCCATTGAGTCTGCACACGTATGTGTGTGACAGAACAAAATAAGAGAAGTACTAGATTGGTGATGCATTCGAGGATTGCAACAATCCGCTTACTTCATTCGCAGCAATCAAGCTGTATGCATCTTACCGTGTGTAGATTGTATTTCATATAATGTTTCAATGAAATCAGTGGCTTTTGTTGTGAAGTAAAAAATGTAAGTAAAGCAGAATAAACGGTTCACTGCTTTTGTAGAAAATCGAAAGTGATAATGTAAATGTTGATGTGCGTGCCAGTTTGCGTTACAAAGGGTTCTATAATGGATCAGTGAAGAAAACTCAAAAGTAGATAGTGATAAAGAACGCATATCATCTTGCAGTACATCTATATGAAATTGTGTACAGAACAGCAGAACAACGAAACATAATAAACTAAAAACCTAGAAATAATTTTTACTGAAGTTTTTAAGTTGATAAAAATCTATATGTATGAAAGCGAGAAAGCAATAATGCTCAAGCTAATCAAATCATCAGTCAACCCTGATAAAAGTATTGAACTTCGTTTGTTTTGCGTGCATGACGAATGCAAGGCAAATGGAAATCTTGAGGTTTGTAACTTTTTACAATAAAATTAACTAGCAGTCGCTGTCAGTGATAATCCGACGGACATCGTTATTAACTATGATAAGATTGGAGGAAATGATAATTCGATTTGCAAGGTGAATCAACTGATTTGCACTCAATTGTCTTACACTAAGCAATGAATACAAACAAAGTAGATCAATGCCATAAGCTCATGATGGTTGCTGGTAGAATGTAAGGTGAAAACATACTGAACCATGTTTGCAATTCTTATGATGGAATTTTTACTCATCGTAAAATTTAAAAGCTACATAGCTAGTCTAGACTAATCTTCTTATGAGTTAGAAGTGCTTCGTTGTGTTGCTTTCAATAAGAACCGAACCACCATTGGGGCTAGAGATTCTCCACTTTCATAAACAAGTTTCATTCAGAATTTGGGTACACGAGACACAGAAGATAATAAAAAAATATTACACTAACAGTTATTAACATATATTAACTTCAAACAGAAAATGTTTGAGATTTGAGAATGATTCATTTGTTTTATTTGTTTCTACTCAAACTATAAAACCGGAATATATCACCGACTACGTATACCTGTGTCTGTCTGGCTGCCCGTCATGTCAAGGTCATTAGACCTAGTTTTACCTGAGACTGCTGCTACGTACCAAACAAGCAGAATACATTCATTATTGCCTATTCTGTGTTCGTACCGGTCAGCCTACAGTGAGTAAAGGGGCGATTCAAAAATGACGTCCATAAATTTTAAGATTATTTTGCAGTTTCCCTCTTTGTGACACACATTTTCGAATATGTATTCCACATACTGTCACAAATGCAAGGGCTCTCTCCCCCTTCAAGAATTAACGTAATTTTTTAATTACCCCTAAGGTGACGTCGCGTCGTGGAATTAACTTATGTAACGTGTTGCGCGACCTCTTCAAGTCGTTTTATAGTAGTTTTCTATTGTAGTTGAGCAGATAAAAGCTTAATCGATTAATTATATTTACAACTAAGAATGCTCGCGTAACATTTGAAAATGGGCTATCCATTTTTGTAAACAAAACTTGTAAGACTCTTTACGCGCGAACCGAAGTACGGCCACGCAATCTAAGAATACTATCTAGAATGGGAGAATTTCCCCTACCCAAAAGATGATAGCAAGAGCAAATTTTCATTACGTCGAAAGTAACAAAGCTAAACAAAGTCGAGCTATCAGTGTCAATCGATGCTCCTGCTATTACACTACATACTTTCCGAATATAGGATCACATCCTATTTTTAAATTTATTTACCAGTCAAATTGCTTTTTGACGTAATCACCATCAATCAAAATATTTTTAGATGTTACTTAAGTCACCCGATTTCTATGGAGAGGCTGTTTGTCTTAAGTAACAGCGCAGAGAAACCCGTGAAAAGTGTACGTTCATCGTTTCGCTCTCTCATTATTAGAGTGGATAAATCGAACTGTTTGTTGCTAAGATGATTTCAGTGGTCCTAAAATGATGAATAGGCTGCACGTAAGGAGACGTGATTGATAATTCTTCCGAATATCCTGGTAAATACACTTTGATTTAAGTAACATTAGGGGGCCACCAAACGACTTATAATAACTTTTGACTCAAAAACCAGTATATTTTAGCATGAAAGCTAGCGCTCTGCTTTGTATGGTTAAAAACCTACTTAATATGTTAAACTTTGCTATCACTATTAGATTATATCAGGCATAACATTTGATAACGGCACAAAATCATTTGTAAAAAAAACTTTCTAAGGCCCTTTACACATGAACCAAAGTACGCCCACGCAAACCAATACCACTTTCGGAAAGGTTATAGTTATGTGTTTAATTGGAAATATTTGGAACTTTATTTTTCTCGGATCGGTGCGAATGTTACTTTCGACATAATGAAATTTTGCTCTTGATAGGCCCTTTTCAAATGTTAAGCGAGGAATCTAAGAAAATAATTGCCTTCATGACAACAATAATTTAGTAGCGGCGCCGGTGATGTAGTGGTTAGTGTGATTACCTTTCACCCCAGCAGGCCTGGGTTCAATCCCAGTAGGCGCCTCCGGGATGTTGTGAGGCATAATATCTCTGATCACGACTTTCTTCGGAAGGGAAGTAAAGCCGTTGGTCCCCGGTTCATGAGTTGATGGATCGATAGGTAGGGTCCAGCTGGCGTCGGTAGCATTGGTGCTCAGCACGGAAAACAAGATCGACAGGAAAAAAATCATGAAATTTAGCTGACCATGTTTCAGTAACCTTTAAAATCGCTTTACAGAGCAAATGAAGCGATTTACATTTCTGTCTTCAGAAAAGTTGTGTATTTTGATGATGTTGAAAACTTTGTAAAACATGTCGAATCGATTGGGGTTAAGATTTATCGTACAAAAAAGTAAAATAAAAATTATTTTAATGTCCTGATAAAAATTCACTTACATCTCGCTAGACTTATGACGTAGAAACTTGGTGTCTTCAGCAAAGTTTCATGAAATTCATAGTTCTACAACTTTGCCCAAGACATAAACATATTATATAGTGATTACAAAAACAAAAGTTAGTTTTTGTAAATAATATCACCTTAATAAAAAATGTATGCATTTGAGATGCAAAACAACATTTCAAGACACCAAAACGCTAAAACATCGAGAAAGGCGAGAAAAAGGTTTTTACCGTCTTTTTTCAGAAAGGTTCCACTATGCGTTAGTCACATCTGGTCATGTTCAGGAAAGTGGCCAGTTTCTGACTAGGGTCGAAATCCATCATACGATACCTCAAATCACCTTACATCATATGAACACTTTTGCTGGAATTTCTATTGGCATAAAGGGTCAAATCTCACCATAGGTGGATTGATTCCTGTTTTTCATCAAAATTCTTAAGAAAAAAGGGTCTTGCTAAGATTGAAAAATCTTATATTTATTGCTTAATTTTCTTGAAATTGGTGGCATAGAAGGTCGTCCCAAAACTGCTCAACACTATGATTAATATATATCACATTATTCGAGAAGTTTAACATGACGTTTAACTACTCGAGAAAATAGGTTCCTATTTATGCTGAAGTAGATTTTTTTTAATGTATTGCCATTTTCCTAAAATCGCTGGTAGACTGCTCGACAATATGATTATTTGCTGTTCATTATTTCACATACAATTCGCATAAAACTCACTAATACTTGTGGTTTTTGGTAATATTCGCTACCTCGCATTATCCCTTCTCCTTCTGATGGTAGCACTTTTTGGTCCGTCCCATGTTTGTCAATCTATCGTAAAATAGTCTGTGCTTAATTAAGCTTCTCCGAATATTTCATAAATATTAGAAGGTTCCCTTCTTAGAATATTTCATAAAGTAGGAAAAACTACCTTCTTTGAATATTCATTCATTGTGTGAGGGCACTTAGAATAGCTTAATGATACTTGGCATCTTGAGCTAATATTCTAGCAGCAGATTTTGTGAGAAATGCTTCCGAGCCCTAAAAGATCAGTTCATATTTGAAAGAAGGAAAACAAACGTGAAATTTGAAGCAAAATATTGTTTTTGATTCTGTAAAAGAACGAGTAGCAATTAAAAGAGGGAATAACCATTGATTGAAAATTAACTCTTAGTTTCAAAAATATGTCGATTTATAGTGATTATGCCAAACGTTTATATGACAAATTTCCATTAGGCAAAACGTATGACACCCGCTTACGACATTAATCTATTTTATTGTTTGCATTCTTTGCTCTGGCGCTAAGACATTTGAGCACCAATGAAATGAGGCACCTTGCAAAACGGATTATCAATTATAATCTTATCATTTTTGCTCGTTGATAGCGATGCCGACTGGATTATCACTGACAAAATCTCGTAGGTAATTTTATTGAAAAACAAAAATTGTCTCATTGTCATGAACGCAAAACAAACAATGTTCAATTCTTTTTTCAGGGCTGACTGACGATTTTCTTGAGTACAACTGCATCCTCGAGTTTATACATATAAGATTTTAAACACCTCCGGTAAATCTCAATAAAAAATACTCCTATTCAAGTAGGGTTTTTGATCTAAAATCCGTCCTACTAAGGACAACCCGCGTTTTACCTCTCTTTTTTGAACGGGTTTGAACACAAAATGGAATATTTCTGTCAAAGATGCCTTCAAAATTTATTCACCTTTCCATAGATTTGATAAAGAGTCACAAATTATTGAGATATTGTTTAAAATCTAATAATGCTTCATGATTCTAAATTTGTTCTACGATTTTAAATTCCGGCCAAACGCATTGAAACGCCATTAGATTTTTTTTTGTGCTACGGATAAATTAGAAAAAGGGGATGCGCTAGGAGCGCTTCTTTTGTCTTGAGAACAATGAGCGTAAATATTCATACAATGCGCTCTAATAGGATTTATGTTGTAGCTAATAAACTAACGCATCGGAACAAACCTATTATTGATTTGTGCAGGGTGAAATCATTTATATTATTGATCTTTTCTGATCTATAGAACGGAAATGGGCAATTATGACGAATTAGCGCTCTACCCTATTTCAAATCGTACACATATAAAATAAAAATAAAAAATAAAATACTTGAAAAAAGTCGGGTTGCAAATACGGATGCAACCCAACTTTTTTCAAGTATTGACGTAAGACTACGAGAATATTTTCATTACTCAATTAAATAATAATTATAGAATAAATAATGTATACATTTCATTCCAAAATCAACAAAGATTCAATTCATTATTCCATGTTTTGAAATTAGGCGACATTCAATATCCTAAATTGAGTATTCAATTTTCATAATTCATAATTCAGTTTTTATCCTAGTCAAAATTGATTTTTTTTTTCTTTATTTTAGTGACTTTTAGCCATTGGCTAGTTCTTCACTTAGTCAAAATTGAGTTCTCAATACGTACACTCAACTATCGATAACTGAATAATATTTATTTATGTTAATCAAATTTCAAAGGAATAAACATTTTCCCACCGTGATCCAAGCTTTTAAAGCGAAGCCAAAAAAAATGCGCGTCACTGTTAGTGACTGTGATTAGGCAAACCGGATTGAACTATTTTCGATGGAGTAACGAGTGTACATTCCCAGTCGTGGTGTTGAAATGGAGGGAGTTTTTTTTTTTTTTTCCTTTGGTTTGTTTTTTCCGTCGATCTTGTTTTCCGTGCTGAGCACCAATGCTACCGACGTGCCAGGAAGGCAGCTCTCCCACACCTGGACCCTACCTATCGACCCATCAACTCATGAACCGGAGACCAACGGCTTTACTTCCCATCCGAAGGAAGGCGTGATCAGAGATGTTATGCCTCAGAAAAATGGAGGGAGTTGTAATATAACCGAAGCGAGTATGACTCGCAATGATTTTTTTAAAAGGTGGGGTTTGTGTCTTCAAGAGCGCTTACCTCCCGAAAATTCCAATATTGGACTGCATTCAAATTCAGTCAGTGTCCCTCGTCAGAACGAAGAAGACTACGGAATCGTTTCGTTTGACATTCTCCGGGTCGACACTACCTGATTACGTCTCGATTGGGTAAATCAGACTACCTGTGGGAATGTTTTTACCAAATGAAAGCAACTAAGGCACGCTGCGATATGTGTGACAGAAAAACATACAGAAGACTCTTACCGTTCCCCTCCAAAATGTGCTTATCGTTTGGGACGTCCCAGATTGTGCAAAGTACAAACAGCAGAGAGAAATACAAGCTGAACATTGCATTAGGTTCTAAGTAACATTGACTTCTCTTCGTCGACTTTCTCTTTGTATGCCCACGGCCATGCAAATACATTCTCAGGTATTTTCAGCACACAGATCGACGTCAATAATCTCTATAGAGGGATAAGGTTGGAATATAACAGTTTTTCAAACTTTGACTATATGTTTTTAGTATTACTTCTACGTGAAGTCAACGATTTACATAGTTGTTGTTGTTTATTAATTTATTTGATAAGGCTCAACCGAATTAACTTTACAGAGCCGAGGATTCTTGGTTACTATACAATACATCTTAAAACTATAGTCAAAAGGTACAACACAATAAACACTTTATCTTCCGCTATCCAAAAAGCCTCCTCCATCAGAACTGGAGCCGCTTGCAGTAGTTTCATTGTATGGCAAATCGCTGTACGCCAACGAGGGTCAGAGCGCGTCCATTGCAGCAATGGACACAAAACGTAGTCAGCACTCACACACTCATCACGAAACGGTTGCTTTCCAAAGTCGACGACGCATCGACCGAAAGAACTGCTAATGAAGAACAATGAGGAGGACCACACAATGGTTGCTGCCGAGAAAACAGACGATCGCGTAGCACACATCGAGAGTGGCCTGCTTTTGTCGACAGCCGAGTGAACACTGATTTACATAGTTGAAGATGCTAATTTCAAATAACAGACTGTAGTGGTAATTTTTATACGATAGATGGAGTAGATGAAAGCATAGAGTTGATAGTTCCGTTAGAGTACGGCAGTGTAAAGATTGTATATAGATATTAGAATAGCGAACTAGGACAACTTTTAAGGAAGGTACAAATCGGTTTTTTCATCTCTCTTTACCAAACTCCCCCTTTGGAGAGGGATGGTGAGGGGTGTCCCCCCCCCGCCACCACTGGCAAAAAGAGATGAAAACCGACCCGTTCAAGTACCAACTGTGTGTTTGAAACAGTTCTACCGATTTTTACCGCACTTAAATTGTTATTTGAAGGAAGGCATCCAGTCGTAGGTTTGGAAATTGCAACTATTGTTTACCCCTACCACGATATGTGCTCCTGTCATCGTCGACTTGACGATCTCGAGGGGACACGGGTGGGGTAGGTGTTGCTACTGTACCTTTCGACCATTGACAGTAATTGATGGTATGCTCCCATCCAGAGTTATGTACTTTGACTATATGTTTTTAGTATTACTTCTACGTGAAGTCAACGATTTACGTAGTTGAAGATGCTAATTTCAAATAACAGACTGTAGTGGTAATTTTTATACGATAGATGGAGTAGATGAAAGCATAGAGTTGATAGTTCCGTTAGAGTACGGCAGTGTGAAGATTGTATATAGATATTAGAATAGCGAACTAGGACAACTTTTAAGGAAGGTACAAATCGGTTTTTTCATCTCTCTTTACCAAACTCCCCCCCCCCCTCCCCCCTTTGGAGTTTGGTAAAGAGAGATGAAAAAACCGATTTGTACCTTCCTTAAAAGTTGTCCTAGTTCGCTATTCTAATATCTATATACAATCTTCACACTGCCGTACTCTAACGGAACTATCAACTCTTTGTTTTCATCTACTCCATCTATCGTATAAAAATTACCACTACAGTCTGTTATTTGAAATTAGCATCTTCAACTATGTAAATCGTTGACTTCACGTAGAAGTAATACTAAAAACATATAGTCAAAGTACATAACTCTGGATGGGAGCATACCATCAATTACTGTCAATGGTCGAAAGGTACAGTAGCAACACCTACCCCACCCGTGTCCCCTCGAGATCGTCAAGTCGACGATGACAGGAGCACATATCGTGGTAGGGGTAAACAATAGTTGCAATTTCCAAACCTACGACTGGATGCCTTCCTTCAAATAACAATTGAAGTGCGGTAAAAATCGGTAGAACTGTTTCAAACACACAGTTGGTACTTGAACGGGTCGGTTTTCATCTCTTTTTGCCAGTGGTGGCGGGGGGGGGGGACACCCCTCACCATCCCTCTCCAAAGGGGGAGTTTGGTAAAGAGAGATGAAAAAACCGATTTGTACCTTCCTTAAAAGTTGTCCTAGTTCGCTATTCTAATATCTATATACAATCTTCACACTGCCGTACTCTAACGGAACTATCAACTCTATGCTTTCATCTACTCCATCTATCGTATAAAAATTACCACTACAGTCTGTTATTTGAAATTAGCATCTTCAACTAAGTTTTTCAAACTTTATAGCAATCTAAACAGCATGGTTGATTTTCGGAACAGATGTCCCTAGTAAAAAAGCTACGGCGATATATTTTGTACAGACAATGGCTTATATCATGTAATATAGACTGTATTGCAATGAGCACTCATACATAGGATTTCCAGAGAAAACTAGAAATATGAGTGCTCATTGCAAGACAGCCTATATTACATGATATAAGCCATAGTTTGTACGGGGTATTACATTGATCTATTAATAATATTAATAAATATTTAAATTTACCGTTAACGCTTTACGGAAAGAGTGTATTATGTATGTTTGTCTGTGAACAAAGCATATATAACTATATAGGCATGGTCAGTCCAGAAGTGTACGTCCAGATTGCTGCAGCATATTTGTATCAGCTCTTTGTTCGCATGGTCCAAAAGTTAGTGATAAGTCCAGTATGCATTTGTAACGAGCGTTTCGTCTCGCTAGAATTTTATTGCGTGACGGATGGTGATCGATAATCATTATCATATACAAATTGGACTAATTTGTGACAGTTTTTAATAACACAACGAGGTTTGCGTTCAGTTAACAGTTTGATATATGTATACGAACAAATGTGTTTTAGATTTTAATATAGGTTTTCTATTTTTGTAACTTTGTACAGATTTATCATATCCTCCGGTTACTAACCTCTCGACACACATATGTTGTCATGATAAATTCATACAATATCAATGCATCAACTTCTTTCCATTTCAGAACACCCCAACACAACTGTAACTTGATTTTGAAATAGCCACAATCCGCAATGCTGTGATATCGCACAAACAAGTAACGTTTGAAGGCGCGAGAATTATTATACGCGACAGACATTCTTCCATTTTAAGGTTAACTGCAATAATTATCATCTGTTAGCAATATCATCATAAAAACAAGCCTGAAAATGTGCACGTGTTGTTCCAACATGCAAAAGAAAATGATATCATTTGGCTGTTCTGCTTTCCTGATCCTATTTGCAATTGTATTGGGGACCCTGTGGCCGACAATGTCTTCCAGATTACTACACGACGTATGATTTATATAACAATTAACTTGTTTCGCTGACTAATATTGATTCTTCATCCACAGAAATTGATAATCAAAAATGGATCAGTCAACTATCAAAACTGGATCAAGACACCTATTCCAATGTATCTTGAAATCTACTTGTTCAACTGGACCAACCCGGGTGATATCCACAAGTATCCAGAGGTGAAACCGCATTTCGAAGAAATGGGGCCCTACGCGTTTCACGAAGTTCACGAGCGAGTCAATCTGGTTTGGAACGAGAATAACACGGTGACGTTTAATCAGCGACGAACATGGCACTTTGACCCCGAGCTATCGCGAGGATCGCTCAATGACACCGTGACTAATTTGAACGTTATTTCACTTGTAAGTAGAATTCATAATGCGATGACTAACTGCTTGCTGTCGAAAGTCCAGTAGAATTAAAAAAAAAACGTTATGATTGTGATTCACTTAGAATTCTCTAGGATTCCATCTTATTTCTAAATTTTCTAATTTAACATCAACACAGCCAGTTCTTGAAAGCATCCTGGAAAATGATGGATATACCTTCATTATTTTTCTTGTCTATTTGATATATGTTTCGCATCGAAGATGCGTCACACATATCAAAACGGCCAGGTCTACTGTGCAGCATTTAAGGGGCAAGATTATTCAGAAAACATCGGGCCTGTTAAAATCGAAGATTTAAACACGATGCTTCATAATCCAATAAATGGAAGAAACGTGCGTACGTTCCGATTTTGGTAATTATATGATTGGTTGGTCGTTGGAAGCATCAAAGCTAGAAAGGTTAAGTGATGCTCCATTTTCTTCTGACGGTTGGGACATGAGCACTAACTCTTGTCCTAGTATTTTATGGCTTATGGTTATAGCGCCATTACTCGTTTTCTGAAAAGAGAAGAGAGAAAGGAAAAGGAGAAGGACAAAGGGAAAAGGATTATGTAAACTCTATGAACATAAACAATATTTTTGAATTCAAATATACAATATAGAAATGCATAACGGCGGTGGTCACTACAAGAGTCTTGTCATTATTATCAAGTCATAAAAAGTAACAAGAACTGATTACTGAAAAATACTGATTCCCTAGTTTGAAGTTGTCACGACTAGGGTTCGGTGGTAGATCTTATACCAGTAACGCACCACAAAAAGGTGATCTCCCAACGTTACTGGTTTGAAAAGATAAAAATTTACAAAATGGAACGAACTCACTAAGTTTAGTCAATTGAACCTGAAGGCAGCTTGACATGTGTTGATGTAGAAGTCCAAATTGTAGACGAAGCTTGACGAAGATCAACATGAACTTAGAATTCTCTAGGATTCCATGTCGGAACTTTCTTGAAATTGTGGTTAACATTCCCTTAGAATTTTCATAAAAATTTATATGGAATAAGCATCAGAAATTACTTTCAAATCATTGGAATCAAACATTGGATCAAATGATATTTTCCTGACAGTTTTCTTTGAAGTGCTTAAAGGAATTCTCCTCAGAATTGTCAAGCATATTCTTACTCATAACTCCCTTGGACTTATCTACTGCAGTTTTGCTCACAAAGGCCATGGTAATCTTTCAGAATTACCTTGACATTCTCTTGGAATACTTTCTAGAACTTCCTTCCGGTTTCCTACAGTATGCCCTTGGAATTATACCAATTTTCATATAAATTCCCTGAAAACTTCTTCATGTAAGATCATCCAAGAGCCTTGACAATTTTCCAGGGCCCAAAATCTTGGATTGCGGAAATTTTCCAAAGTCCGAAAATATCAGTTTTCTATAAGTTCAAATCATATTTCTTTTCGCAATTTAGGTAGGAGATTCCTCTATTAAAGACTGCAGCCCAGAAATTTTCATCCATATTTGTTCCCCTGGAGAAAATTCTAGATTTTTTTTGGTTGTTATGGAGTACAATGTTTGTCCAAGATACTTGATCTTACAATTAATTTATTTTTTATCAATGTAGTAAATAAGAGGGGGAATTTGCCTTGCCCTTCTGTCTCGTTTTTTTCCATTCCTCACTAAGTCCCTGCTCGCACCTTTACTGACTAGTGTAAAAAAGGCCCAAACTAGCAACCTAAAAGCATAATATGCATAATATATTATATTTTTTCAGAATACAGCGTACTTCATGCGAGATGCTTCAACCGTGCTGAAAGTGCTTACCGAAGGTATGTTGGCAATGGATGGATCACTATTGTGGGAAAACAAACGGGTTGGTGATTTACTGTTTGATGGTTTGAAAGATCCTTTGCTGGATTTGTTGAAAACCCTGAACCAAACTGTCAAGATACCTTTCGATAAATTTGGATGGTTTGTGGATAGAAATCTAAGCGATACATACGATGGTACATTCACAATGAAAACGGGAACAGATTCACTGGAGAACACCGGAATGCTAACACTTTGGAATGGAGCGAGCCATACGGGAATGTACCGAGGGAAATGCGGCGAAGTTTACGGAACGACTGGAGAGCTATGGCCAGTTAGTCATATCAGAAACACGAATGTATCCATTTTCGCGTCAGACGTTTGCCGTTCTTTGACACTCCAGTATGGTGAGCAGATATCAATCCATGATGTTGAAGGAGCCAAATATGTCGGTGATGAGCGTGTATTTGATAACGGAACTAAATTCCCGGATGCAGCTTGCTGGTGCAATGCCGACCACTGTCCTGATGTTAAACCCGGAGTTTTCAATGCATCAGCATGTAAATATGGTTCACCAACCTTCGTGTCTTATCCACACTTTTATCTAGCGGATCAATCGTATTTGGATGCTGTGAGTGGGTTAAGTCCCAACAAATCGAAACACCAGTTCTACATTGCTATGGAGCCACATACTGGCATTCCATTGGATGTTCGTGCTCAACTGCAGATCAATATGCATCTGCAGCCTATCAAGGGTATCAAGTATGAATGCCAATGTCTAGCGTTAATAAAATTCTAAAATTCTCCCATCATTACAGGATGTACGAAAAACTACCAAACATGATGATTCCAATGATGTGGTTTACACAAAGGGCAACGCTTACTCCGGAATTGGCTAACCAAGCAAAGGTTGGTGGGACATTCTATTCACTATTATTCACCTAGATTCAATAAGCAATTATTTCTCTTTTCAGATGGCCCTCATGCTCCCACAATTGGGTATCTACATTGCCATATTTTTCGGCACGATTGGAACCATCTTGGTAGGTGTATTCTCCTATATTTGCATTCGTAAATGGAGTACGGCGGAAGTGCCGTACGAAGAATTGGTGCGATGAGACGCCGTTACTGAAGCGGATAGCGAAGGTGTTAAGAAGTACTACAGCATCGAAAACACCTGATCTCACATTGAACAGCGCTGTGTGGTCATTCGAAATAGCTACCAAATTACCTACGTGGATGAGAAGTGCCTTTAAGTGATAATCATAAGTCAAAGTTCCATGTATTGTTTGCTCATAACTTTCTCGTCGAGATTATGGACAGATTTTCCCTAAACTGGTGAATAGTATATTGTAGGGTTCTACTCCAGTAGAGATAATTTCCTAAGTCTGATAACACTTGAGATAGTGACAGTGCCAATTATAGTTTACGAATCAAAGCTTGCAATTCTGTACCAAATATGTTTGCTCTGTTACCAAACTAATATTAGATAGTGGGAATAGATATAGGGAAGGTAACGGCTTCGGCACTTCTTTATATCTATTAATATCAGGGGGTAAACAAATTCCTATGATGCTGATTTATGCATGAAAGTGCATCATGTTCCAGAGCATCGTACTGCAGAAAAATTAATACTCTTACAGTGAATTTATTAATTATCCAGGTTGGAACCAGTTTGACAGGCAACGCGCAGACCAAATCTTGATACCTGATCCAGGTTGGAACTGAATAAAAACAAATTCGCTATAAGACATCAGTTTGTTAACCCCTAACTATGATAGGTAAATGAATTGCCGAAGCCGACATGTCCCCTACTGAAAATTAGAGTAGGATGTTTGTCCAACTTCATGATCCGAAATATCAAAATATTCCAACTCGAACGGTGAAATCTTAAGCTTCTGACACAATCCGATGAACCCAATAGCTTTATTAAGTCATTAAAGATATTTCTAAAACCTTAGTTTGAAATTGCATAATTTTTAAATACAAGCTTTTTGCATTGCTTTCACTACTTCTAAAGTTGCCGCACCACGAAGACTATCTACAAAACGCTAATTATACCAGCAGCCTTTACGGCCACTAGACATGAACTATGCTTGTGGAGGACCAATGCGCCCAATGGTGTTTTTGAACGGAAGGTGTTCCGGAGTGCACATCGAGGATACAACGTGGAGGGGGCGAATGTACCGCGAATTGCACCATCGTTCGCAGGGCAATAATCGGTCGACTACGGTGGGTCGGGCAAGTCGTACGAATGTTGATCGACAGGCCGGTGAAAATGGATCTCGATAACGATTGGACTGGAACGAGACGAAGAGGCGCGCAGCAGGGAAAGTTGGTCGATCAGGTGGAAGATGATCTGTGGAGCCTTCGCAGACTGCGAGACTGGTGACATGCAGCCATGGATAAGTGGAGTGGAGACCAAGGTGACTACATATAGGTGTTCTAATGTGTCAAATTCATGATTCAGCCATGTTGGATTTTTGTATGGGACAGTGACCGAGTCTGTTTACAATTTGCTCTAAATCGCACTTCCCCACCATTTTCTAGTTTTCTGCATACAAAATAAATCGCCGTAGCTTTTTACTAGTGACATCTGTTGCAAAAATCAGTCATGCTTTTAATCAATTCATGTGAGTTGATCAATTAAAATGCCTCGTTTAAACCCAGGCATGCTTTAAAAGAATTTGACGTCAAAAGCACCACCAGACATTTGAGTGTCAAAAATGGCTTAAATGCGCAGAGAAGATGCCATCAATGTTGCTGTTGTTTCAATTTCATTGATGTCCCATAAAAAATAGAAGGCTTATTTATCGGCATAATAAGTAGCGTTTTCCCGCATTTATGCTAACCGTCATTATACCAGAGACATTATCTCCTTTGTTTTGATCAAATGCTGTTCTTTCATATTTGTTTAAGAACGGATTATGATTAAAATAAGGGAAATTACAATATGAATGAATGACTGCTGAATGCCAAGATTTGAATTGTAATTTTCATTAAATCATACATTACTGTCATTTGCAGCTGGAGAGGAAAAAGTCAATGGTTGACGCGACGGGCTAAGACGGCCACCTTACGCATAAATTACATTTTAAACAAAACTTTACAAAATTTTCGCGATAAATTAAGTGAAATTTCCTTTTCATTTAACTGACAGAACCCCAAAGGGTGCAAAGTGAGTGGCGATGCTGTCCCGTTGCCGATAAGCGTGCTTGTTTACAGTATTGTCACGCACTTTACTCCCTTGGGGTGTGGAGGCGAACCAGCCTCAGGCTGAAAGCCTCCTTAATAAAGATAAATCAATCAATCAATCCCTTTGGGTTCTGTCACTTAATGATGTTTTACCACGAACCAAAAAAAAAGTCTAAATAATTCAAGAAAAAATCATGCGTGGTAAGGTTTAGCTACCCCTAGAACTTCTAGGGCCGCATGAAATACCACATGATCCTGGCCATATAGAAGATTACTGTCTTCGGCAAAGTTGTACACTGGGTCGAATCCAATTGGTTGGAGGACAGTAGCTCATAATTAACTAACTATGCCGTGCTAATCAGCAAGTCAATTTCATGTAAAAATATTTCTTGAGATCTTGATTATATATTTTTTTTTATATCTTTATTTAGGAGACTTTCAGCCCTGGGCTGGTTCGTCTCCGGGTTGATTATATAGGAGTTTCCGTCTTCGAAAAAGTTGTTCCGCTGACCAAGGTATTCTAAATTATGGGCAGATTAATTCAGAATTATTTCACTACGCAGCGTTAGTGTGCATGTGTCATAATAAGCACATTCCGCACTTTACCTCTCTTTTTCGAACTGGTTAGACCGCAAAATTGAAAATTTGTATCAAAGTTGACTTGTTAATTTATTTACTTTTCCATACGTAACGTTCGATTTGATAAAGTCACAAATTGTAGAGATAAAGGGTGATACGGTCAAAATTTGGTCAATATCAACTTGACGTATTTCTTTCAATTTTGCATTTAAAAAACCTGAACACCCCTCATTTTGAAGGTGTGTGTGTGTAGAATGTTGCTCCTATTTTGATTTTGGAATTCACTCTTCAGTTGTCAAAATGCCGTCCAAGCAAGAAGAGCAGCGTATCAAAATTTTGCTCGCGCATCGCGAAAATCCGAGCTACTCGCACGCAAAGTTGGAAAAATCGCTAAAAGTTGCCAAATCAACCGTTACAAATGTAATTAAGAGAGTTGCCGGTAGTTTCAAGCGAAACCCTAACCTCTCTCTCCGAGATGCCGCAAATAAGCTGGGTGTATCGTCTACAACCGTGCATCGAGCCAAAAAACGAGCCGGACTATCGACTTACAAGAAGGTAGTGACTCCAAATCGCGATGATAAACAAAATACGACGGCCAAAGCGCGATCCCGGAGGCTGTACACGACGATGCTGACGAAGTTTGACTGCGTGGTAATGGACGACGAAACCTACGTCAAAGCCGACTACAAGCAGCTTCCGGGACAGGAGTTTTATACGGCAAAAGGAAGGGGAAAGGCAGCAGATGTTTTCAAGCATATGAAACTGTCAAAGTTAGCAAAGAAATATCTGGTTTGGCAAGCCATCTGTACCTGTGGCTTGAAAAGCAGCATTTTCATAGCTTCCGGGACTGTCAACCAAGAAATTTACGTGAAAGAGTGTTTGAATAAACGTCTGCTGCCTTTCCTGAAGAAACACGGTTGTTCCGTACTGTTTTGGCCGGATTTGGCATCTTGCCATTACGGTAAAAAGGCCATGGAGTGGTACGCCGCCAACAACGTGCAGGTGGTTCCAAAGGACAAGAACCCTCCCAACACGCCAGAGCTCCGCCCAATTGAGAAATACTGGGCTATTGTCAAGCGGAACCTAAAGAAGACCAAAAAAACTGCTAAGGGCGAGCAGCAGTTCAAGGCAAACTGGCTTTCTGCGGCGAAGAAGGTGGACAAGGTGGCTGTACAAAATCTGATGGCAGGGGTCAAGCGTAAGGCCCGGCAATTCGGATTTGGAAAAGCGGAAGCCTAACTGAATATTTTTCCTAAATTTTATACTAATTGAACTTGAAAAAGAAATTTAATTTGATTTTTTAAATAAACGATTTCACCGATTTACACGCGTTTTCCCTTGACCAAATTTTGACCGTATCACCCTTTATTGTAAAAAATAAAGCAGTGATTGCAATTTTGTCATACGAGTTTCAATTCCGTCTGAACAAATTGAAACGTCATTGGATTCACTTCGGCATACGAAAACAGGTAGAAAAAAGTAAGAGGTTGTATCCAAGACACGAACGTAGATTTGATGATTGGGTATCAATATTCGGCGACTGTGTCAGGGAAACTACTTTTTCCCATCTCGGAAACGCCTCATTTTCTGATGATAAAATTACACACTTTCGTGCACAAAGCGCACGGAATTTTTGTTTTATTCAACAGATAATAAAAAAAAAAACAAAAATTGATTGGAAGAAGTTCTTGCTAAAATGTTTCAACCGCGAGATATTCGCGATCATCAATCATATAAATTCGAGATTTTTTTTTGTCCTGGAGAAAACCTAACCTTAATTCGAAGTGTTTCTGGTTAATTGACAAGGTCATGTGGTATTCGGTTATTGCGAGAGTTTTTTTCTACCACTTCAATACTGTTACGCATTTAACCACAAAAGTTTAATTGCTGGGTACATTATCAGCTTTGGGGTGATGTGGCTGGCAGTAAGGCGAACGAACGTTAAATGAAAATTAACTCTGAAACAATAATTTATGGTGGTCCTGAAATAAACCGTTTTGTCGTGATGGTTGAGTAATGCAGAGCTTTTAGTGTGTTCAACAAGGATGAGACTTGCGAGCTGTATGTTGTTTGGTACGAGAGTGACGCGCTTGGCATAGATGGCCCACAGTGGCTCACGACGAGCAACATAATCCGGTCAGTAGCGGTGCGGCTTCTTCCTCCTTCTTCGATGAATCGGGGGCAGCCTTGATAGCTAGCTGCTTGCGGGTAGCCTTTCGTTGTGTACTGGAGAAAAATTCAATCATAGCAACAGTTGTACATTCGTGCAATTTTCAATAGTGACCTTTAGAAAATGGATGAAGTCTTAATTTTCGAGGGGGACGCCTCTATCTACGATGCAGAAAAGATTGTGTTTTGCTGTGGCTAGCTGCGCGCACGCTGAGTAGATAGAAAGAAGATTGATGACGATTCTGAAGATTTCCTACAAAAAGATGATGCGCGATGCAAGTAGATGCGACAAATGAAAGAAGATATTTCGAAGATTGATTCGCTAGTGTGAGATTTGTTGAGCATCTAACCTTGAGATTTAGATGTGTCACCCCCCTCGTTAATTGTCGAACTGTCTGCGACGTTCCATCACTACCTAATGCCCCACGTTGCTAAAAGCATTTCCAGTCGATGGTGTGTTATAATGCAATTTTTCTTTACCCAACTATTGTGTTGCTCCTCTCGTCATGACCAATGTAGTCATTTCAAAGAGAAAGTAGTAGGGTGGTTGTTGCGTGCTGTACCATCATCAGCATTGTTGACGGTTACTATCGCCTTGAGTTGTTACATTCTAATTACAAGTGCTATCTAATATCAACATGAAGCTATAAGGTGAATTCCGTTCTGAGTGATATTTCACGCGCGGGGTGAGATTTTGCGTTGGTACGAGAGAGAAAAGTAGGATAGAGAACTACTTCGGCCTAATCGCCCGTGTTGGGCCTATCGAGCAGAAAACTTCAAATAAATCCATGATTTCAGAGTTAACAAGTCAATTATGCGATTGGTACGATACTTTAGTTAATAAGCTACGGAACTCGAATGAGAACGCGTG